CCGTCCGTTTGCCCAGGGGGCCCCGAAAATGGCTGCTGTACTCAGCGCGTACCTTCCGGGGAGCGGGGGCGTGGGGCGGGGGTTTGGGGCAGGAGGAGGCGGCAGGGTGGTAGCGCGCGGGAGCCTGGCCGCGGGCCGGGCCCTTTCCTCCCCATCCAGGAGAAGAGCAAACGCGGTTAAATATAACCAGTCGTGACTTTACTCAATACGTTACCTCTTTCAGCTTGCATAAAACCTTTAAGAATTGGTCCTGAAAAGAAAAAAAATAAATCTCGGCCTTTGTTTCGGGAGGCCATGAGTAGATGATCATTTTATTGTCTGGAAAGGGAAGATTCTCAGTGGTTGTCAAAACAGTAAAATTCAGTGCGGAGTGGAGCTTTGCCAGCTGCCCCCCGCGTTTGTCTGGAGGTGACAGGCATGCTACTGCAGCATACAGCAGCTCGAACTGGAAACCTGCAGATTTCGTTATTATTGAATCTTCAGTTCTGTCAATGATTTAAATTTCATTTGCAAAGATAATTTCGCCTTCATTCTTTTACCCTTTGCATGCTTTATCAGAAATGGGTCTTACCTGCTTTTATTAAAGGTGTGACTCACTCTGTATACCAGTGGATTGAATTTATTTCCCAGGATGATGCCAGAATGATTTATCAGTACTCCGCCGCGAAGCAAACAACATCGTGGAGTCCATTCAGAGTTTGCTGTTTCAGGTGTGGCACCCACCCGACTAAAGAAGCTGCACTGGCTTTTCCAATTACGACATGCTGCCATATCATTAATTGCTTTGGTAGTTCTGTTCCAGTAGGAACTAAGACACCCAGTATTGGACCAAAACCCACTTGTGTCATACAAGCTATATAAATGCAAACCAGAGCTCGTGCTTCACTGAGCTTGCAGTATACCAGGAGTCTTCATCTAGGCAGGTAAAGTTGTAGAAGGAAGAATAAAATAACTCCTGTCAACAAGAAGGCCTATGCCCTCCTGCTGGCATTCTGTGTAATCGCTGTAAGACACCCCACGTATCTTTCTGCGGTGCATAAAAACACAAATAATTGCAGCGTTTCTTTGCTTGTCAAAGTTCACCTGAGACTTTAGTCTCATATCAGCCCAACTTCAGAACAGGCTCTGAGAAGCTGTTTTTCATCTGTTTACTTCTCAGTCACACCTGGATGCCTATATCTCAAACAGCAGTATAAAGAGTAAAATGAGTATAATGTAGAAACTGGCCCCTTAGTTTATTGAATATTTAGTAATTTAAGCAGTTTATCAAAAATTTCAACTAAGGCTTTAGTAGCACATCGAAAACAGAAGAGAAGGCAAAGGAGAAGAAAGGAACTGCAGAACTGTGAACCACACTGTGCAGTGTGAAGCTCGTCACCATGGGGTTTTGTCTGGAACTCCACAATTCTTACAGGAGTTTGCAAGCTGCCATCACTGATGACTTGAGACTTGATTGACATCAGTTCAGGGAAACTGGGGGAAGAGTGGCTTGGGGAAGAGTGGCTGGAAAGCTGCACAGTGGAAAAGGACCTGGGGGTGTTGGTCAACAGCCGGCTGAACATGAGCCAGCAGGGTGCCCAGCTGTCCAAGAAGGCCAATGGCATCCTGGCTTGTATCAGGAATAGTGTGGGCAGCAGGAGTAGGGAGGTGATCGTGCCCCTGTACTCAGAACTGATGAGGCCACACCTGGAGTACTGTGTTCAGTTTTGGGCCCCTCACTACAAGAAAGACATTGAGTTGCTGGAGCGTGTCCAGAGAAGGGCAACGAAGCTGGTGGAGGGTCTGGAGAACAAGACTTATGAAGAGCTACTGAAGGAACTGGGGCTGTTTAGTCTGGAGAAGAGGAGGCTGAGGAGGAACCTTATCACGCACTACAACTACCTGAAAGGAGGTTGTAGTGAGGCAGGTGTCGGTCTCTTCTCCCAAGTAACTAGTGATAGGAAGAGAGGCAATGGCCTCAAGTTGTGTCAGGGGAGGTTTAGATTAGATATTAGGAAAAATTTCTTTGCTGAAAGAGTGGTCAGGGTTTGGAACAGGGTGCCCAGGGAGGTGGTGGAGTCCCCATCCCTGGAGGTGCTCAAAAAACGTGTAGATGTGGCACTTCAGGACATGGTTTAGCAGGCATGGTGGTGTTGGGTGGATGGTTGGACTTGATGATCTTAGAGGTCTTTTCCAATCTTAATGATTCTATGATTCTGTTAAATAGATCATTTTTTTTCAAAGAGGGGAAAAGTGCTATCACCAGATTAAAGAGGTTGTTTGTGCTAAAACCGTCTGAAGTTCAGAGATGGGCCCACTTCTTTCCTTGCCAGGACAAAGAGGTCTCTTAAAGGATGACATGCTTAAACCAGCAAAATTCAGATGTTGTAAAATTTAGAGAAAATGAACAGATTCTGAGAAAACCTTCTTCATGAGTGCTTCACATTTGACCTAGGGCTTTGTTAGGAGCAATATCCTCATCAAACACAATTTTTGAAGAAGGGTTAGGGTGACAGTCTATGCAGTAACTAAATAACCAAAGAGTGAAATGGGGGCTCCAGTAGGCACTAGGAAAATGTCTTTTAGTAACAGCTGGGCTGCATCTCTCATTGTTAAGTATAATTTTATTTACATTTTTTTCTTCATATACCACCCAAGAAAATGATTACAGTTGGTGGCATTGCTATATGAAAAGATTTTTCTTTGCAGCATTTGCATATTCTGTGTCACCCTTCTTCCCCACCCCCCCATGAGTCTTCTTCCATTTTTCAATAACTATTGATTTACACGTAACTAGGTAAAAAAAGTACATCTCCCCACTAGGGTTGTAGTTATAATTCACTGTTATGATGCTCATTTTTCATTCTTAATTACATTTTGTGTAAAATAAAATCCCAGTTAGCCACATGTGAGGTGTTCACAATTCATAGTGTTTATGTCTATAATCTGCTTATGATGTTTTGCAATAACATATGGAGTCTATGTGCAATTTATAAATGACACATTATTTCTTCAGTTTCTTACAGCAAAGCATGGAAATGATACTGACGTGATTAATGTTTCAAATCCATTTTTTACCGTATTGACTTTATATTTTTTTCACACACTGAAAGTGCCTTGTAGAAAAGTTAATTTTATAGTTCTCCTGACATTACAATAACGAAATCGCGATTCCATCTCACAACACAGGCTGGACACAGAGGTCAACTGGTGTCCTGGTTTTTGTTAAAACAGAACCAGTTTTCTTTTAGTGAATCTTCCTTACAGCTAAGTTCTTCTAAATAACTGCATTTTTCTGCAGCTGGCTGCATATTTTACAGACGGTGTCCGCTCCAAAGCTGATGACACCTGATGTTCATAGTTTTACCAAGCTAACAGTAGGAATGAAAGGCAGAAAAAGGCCCCTGTTTATAATTGTTACCGTAGCAGCCAAGGTCACTGACAGACCTCTTAGGTCCCACCAGTGAGGAGTCGCAAAGGGTCGCACTCGCAGGGAGGGGAGGACAGGACAGGTGACCCGACACTGACCAAGGCGCTATTCCACGCCATGCACGCCATGCTCAGCTTAAAGCTGGGGCGTCACGAGGGTCTCACTCTCTTCGTCCATGGCCGCCTGCTGAAGAGGACCCTGCTCCTTGTCCAGCCTGTGATCCTGATCCAGATCCCGATCCGTGCATTCCTGAGCCCAGTTCCTGCCCACTGCCGAGTCCAGTCCGGGACTTCCCGGTGCTGCCTGGCAGCTGCTGGTGGGGCGCCAGCGCCCGGCACCCAACTCTGGGAAACTCCGTATCAGTTTGGGATATTTGGCCTTATTTCTTTTATTAGTAGTATTATTAGTATTATTTAATGTTATTAGTAAAATTTTTTATATTGAATTTATAAGTCTCCCTTTTTCTCCTTTTTCCCTTCCTCTGGTGGGAGGGCAGGGGCTCATCGAGAGCATCCATCACTCTGTTTATTGCTGCCCTGCTCTACATGGTGACAACAGGCTATCATTAATATTCACTATGTTTATGGTATATTTCCATTGATCGTTTTTATTCATATTAATCATTTCACAGAATCAATCTGTGATACAGATAAAGTTTTTGATGTTGATGTGATGAATTGTACCCCTGTTGGCTTTGTGGCCCAGTATTGGCAGCTCTCCCACGTGAAGGCCATGCCCTAGACTTTGTAAAGCGGCCATGCGTGGTTAGCAGGTGTGGCTGCAGCTGGTCCTTGACATCTGCACTTCTTCCTGCCAGGAAGCCAAAACGTGTAGTCAGTAAGGGGTTTTAAGTGACTGATTCATCAACGTTTTGTTTATCAGTGACAGCATATAGGAAGAAAAATCACGTAAAAAACCCCAACATTCTGAAACCTCATCTGTCTTGACCATGGTTTTATAGTTTTTTTAATAGTTACCTACACAGGTGTGTCATGGTCAGACACTCTGCTTAGGCAATGTGTAGTCTCCTTTCCACAAAATACTTATGAACAATTACTCCCTTTTTTCAAAAAGAAAAAGAGATCCTTTGTAGACACAGGTGTCCCACATGTCCTACCAGCTGTCCTACCACTGCTACCATTTTTTTGGTTCTCTCTACTGTCTCCAATTGAACTAGATGAATACTTTTACATAGCAAACAGCCCATATATTTTATTGGTAGATTACTCCATGACTCCATCAGAAAAGCAATAAAAAATAAAAAAAAAACAAGGAAGCTGTCTGAAAAGATCCTGTATAAACTTCTAATATACAACGGAAAGCGCAGGAATCTTATTAAAGTGATAACAATAATGACGTGATTATCATTGAATTATTAAATATGTAACCAGAATGTCAGTGTTCTTACATGTTTGATAAACAGGTTTTCACAGTCATTAGTGATTAACTTGCTACTTTCAACAATTATAGGCTGTGAAAGCAGCCTAACAAGTCACAGGCATCATTAGAGAGTTGAAAAGCTGATACAGCATGATATTATGTTAGTATTAAATATTTCAATCACTGTTTTGTTAAGCAGTAAGCTTCAATTATTAAAAAAACTGTTTGCTAGTTAAAGCTTCATCCGTTGTGCAATTAAGTAACAGCTGACAAGATATTTCTAAATAAAACTATTACCTTAGCCGCAGAGAAGCAGAAATAGATCACAGAATATTTCTAATAAGGATTCGTATCTTCAAAAAGGAGCAATTTTAGCATCTTTCATCAGTATCCTTGTCGCTTAATATCCTGGTTTATTCTAATGCTATTTAGCAAATGAGGGTCCTCAAGATGCTTCTGTTTAAGCAAACTCAGTCAAATCACTCAGGTGTTTCCTCCCATATTCTGAAAGCTGACAAAATTGACAGTGGACGTAGGACATCACCAACCTTATCTTCCTGGCTATATTCTCTAAATACTGCCATCATGGGAAGCAGAAGACACCATGTAAAACCACCCCCTCCATAAGACTTTAAATGGTTGAAGGGGGCTGATCACTGCTGCTGCCCATTGCCAGGCAGGCAATTCATCATGCAAGTCACAAGTAAAATAGTACGTGCAGTCATTATGCAAGTTCTTGATTGAAGAGAACGTATGTAAGTCACTTCAAGTACTGACAAACCTATCAGTTTCACCCACCACAATTATTCAAAACTTCATTAAATACTGCCAAACAGAGCCACGGTTGCTTCTGGTCTTAATGCCTTTCCGTCATACGTGGCAATTTCTTTCTGGGACAGAGTTTGGAGTTAACCTTGTCCCATTGTGTTTCAAACTATATTAATTTTTTATGACATTCTTTTAATAAAACCCTTGCCAAATATCTGCTAAAATAGCCTTTCATTGGTTTTAGAAGATACCAGGAAGATACCTGGACAAGATTCTGGAAACGCCCGTTATCTTTGATAGAACTGTGTTGCTGGGAATAAGGGGAGTTTCCTTGAACATATGCGACTGTACTCGTCCATGCAAAATCGTCCTAGGCCTGTCCATGCACAAGTTCAAAGGATCATCAACACTGCGTACCTGTAAGGACTTCCTAGCTCGTAGCATTGCCTGTGTATAGCGTTACAGGTTGAAAAATCCTCTAAACTCATAAGAAGATTTTACAACTCACTAAATGTGCTCAGAACAAAATTTACGGTATATATTTATATACAGTTGTGGCTGTAGTGTATTCCATGTTATTTTGCTGTTCTTGGTTTCAGATTCATCTCAGTTTTTCTAGTCCTAGTAAGTTGTTATCCTGAGGGAGGCGTCGGGGAGCCTGGTTGGTCAGGCATGCATCAGCAGCAAAGGACCAGCTGAGGGAAGGAGAAGTGATAGGTATGGCTGCATCAGCAGAAAGTCTCTAGTAAGCAAAGAAAATATTTAAAGTAAGAAAATGCAGTCTTTTTCATGTTTACAACACGTTGATTTTTTTTTATTAACAGTGAAGGCATCTTTCTCCTCATTTTGATATAAACTAGCTTTGGGAAGTATTGAGCTTTATGGATAGTATCATTTAAATATAATTATTATTTACTTCATTGTTGTTCCTAAATAATGTGATTCTGCTAATTCTTTCCTTTAGTTACTTTTTAGCAGCATAAGCTGGTCCATCTCTTGTTTGATTTTGCAATGAACACACCCAGAAATCGCTGCTGTATTTTTATAGATCTCTTGTCAGTGCTGTCAAATTAAATCAAAACAAAGAAGGCAGGCTATGGACACAACTTCTGGTCTCACTCCTAAATTTCATTATGTAGGGCTAGAATCAAAATTTACTGAAGTCATGGAGAATTTATATATTGACTATGGATCAGGCTATAAATTTTTATGAAAAAACCTCAGCTTCACTGATTCTTTGTTGTCCAAGTAGTGTATGCTGTGTAATCCATGAATAATTCCAGTCGTGATTTCTTTCTCTAATATTAAGGTACCATTTCTGATGTAAGCTTTGACTGGCTAATAATATCAGCTGAATGAGTGATAAGAATTCAGAGCCATTGCAGCAGCCTGAGCATTAATAACTGTAATATCTAAAGAGGAGGACTAATACATTTAAAATAAAAAGTGGAAGTCCAAGTAATTTTTCATTTCAGTAAAACGAATGTATGGGATGAATGGAGCATACAGTTTTGATGCTTCATAAGATGCAATTAAACAGTAATTAGATGATTTGCGTTCTGTTTATTTTGACCTTCAGACACGTGGGAAAGGCTTTAACCAGGCAAAACAGAGAATTCAATAAAAACAGAGACTTTAAGCACAATGAATTTCAGTGAGGGGAGAGCTATTTTGCAGACCTGTATCTAGGCAGAGCATTTTCCTACAGCACGTGTCTCAAGACAAATGGGGCAGACATCATCCTTGTTTCCTTGTCCAGCAAGGCAAAACTGAGAATGTGAATCAAGATTCTTGGATGCTGGAGCTAGCTTTGTGCTAGCTTGATTCCATGATTCTGTTATGGACTAAACAGAAGTTCTGTGTATGCGCTTTACACTGCTGGTAATGAGAATCTACTCTAGGAATCACATAGTTTATGAAGCAAAAGTGCCTTTTAAGAATTCTCAAGAAATATTCAATACCTGTCACCTTATAACAGATTGATAACAACAACTTTCTGAAATTTAGACAGTTTGGGTTAAAAACAGACAGAGGTGCTGTATTGTATTGTACCAAATGGTTTTGTCAAAGCTTTCTGCTGACCTCCCCTGCCTCCCCCAAGCACAACAGTTGTCTGAAAGGGGAAATTCATCTCGCCCTTATGGCCCTGAGTGGCTGGACCTGTAGTGGGGAGTGAAGCAGCCGGTGATGTTCAGAAGGATCCCTGCACCCCGCCATGCTGGCTGGTGCGGGGCTTTCCACGGGTGGAGAACTGAAGGCAGACGAGATGCAGGGTTTCAGTGCTGTCTTGGGCTGGCCTTCTCCAGCATGGGCCTGGACAAGTTGTGGCTGCTGCTCCTCTAGTGCCTGGGTTGTCCAAATCACACAGCAGCCTTGGAGCTGGGCCTGAGAGAATCCTGGAGCAGGCAGAGAAGGAAGGAGCAAGGGAGGGACCTTGAGAGCTGCCTGGGGTGTAGGCAGCTCCGAGCTTGACTGAGAGCAGTAAAGGTAATTAAATGTCTCCTTTTTTTTTTTCTCTGTTGTCTAAAAAAGATTAAGAACTTGCATAACAGCTTTCTCCCCACTGGCCTGTTATTATGGGCTCTTTTACTAGTCAGGTGTTTTCAGGATACTTGTGGGAATTTACCATCTTCAAGGCTATAACCTTTCTCAAATTTGAGAGAAGTTATTTCTGGTGTTCAGATGGGTTCAGGGTACTGAAGGCAGTCTGACTGGGAGACACATCGCTTCCCAATAGCTGGGCAAGCCTCTTCTACTGAGGAAGTAAGCTAAAAAAGGGAGAAAGACCTGCCCAGGCTGGAAGAAAATACATGGGGAGGCAAAAGTAACTTAAAGCTTTGTGTATGGTCAGTGCAATTACAAAAGCAAGGAGATTATGCTGTGTAGGACATGTTCTAATGGAGCTAAGATACTCAACCATCCCTGCCTGGCAGAATTGTCAAAAGGCATTGAATCCTTGCTGGATGCTCAC